CTCAAGGCTAGCACTCTACCACTTGAGCCACAGCACCACTTCCAGCTTTTTTCTTTTTGCTTATGTGGTGCTGAGGAATCGAACCCAGGGCCTCATGCATACAAGGCAAGCGCTCTACCACTGAGTCACCTTCCCAGCCCCTAATTCTGTCTCTTTATAGTATTTTCTTCCCTCTCTCCCTTTCTCCTTGCTTTCTTCTCTTGTTCCTTTCCTTTTTCCTTGACAGGATCTGGTACATAGCATAGTCTGACCCCCAACATGCCCTACTCTTCAGCCTTTGTCTCAGCTTCAGGAATGCTGGAATTATTACAAGTGTGCACCATTGTGCCCAGCTTAGTAATTACTTTTTTATGTGTCTTTCTCCTACCTTGGTCTAGCTTTAATCCAATTTATTTATTTAGCAAGTCCTGGGGCTTGAACTCAGGGCCTAGGCATAGTCTTCGTGCTTCTTTTGCTCAAGGCTAGCACTCTACCACTTGAGTCACAGCCCCATTTCCAGCCTTTTCTGTTTATGTGGTACTGAGGAATTGAACCCAGGGCTTCATGAATGTACTGTACCACTAAGCCACATTCCCAGCTGGCCTGAGCCATTCTTAAACTTATTATTTCTTGCTTTAAGTGCTGGAATTTTTTTTTTTTGGGTCTGGTGGTGGGGCCTGAACTCTGGGCCTGGGCTCTGTCCCTCAGCTCTTCAGCTCAAGGCTAGCTCTCTACCACTTGAGCCACAGCGCCACTTCCGCCACAGTGCCACTTCCAGCTTTTTTTCTTTTTGCTTATGTGGTGCTGGGGAATCGAACCCAGGGCCTCAGGCATGCAAGGCAAGTGCTCTAGCACTAAGCCACCTTCCCAGCCCCCAAGTGCTGGAAATTTTAATTGGAAATTTCCTCACATTGCTTATTAATTGCCATAGTAAAATAAATTGGCAAAAGAAACTGGGCAGTCATTGGTAGTCATCATTACAAGTGCAACAGATACTGTGCCACTGTTTTTATTGTTGTTGGGTGTGTGTGTGTGTGTGTGTCTGTGTCTGTGTCTGTGTCTGTGTGTCTGTGTGTGTCTTAGCAGATTTTCCTGACTGGGCTGGCTTTAAACTGCAATCCTCAGATCTCAGCCTCCTGAGTAACAAGGACTACAGGCATGAGCCACCGGTGCCCAGCTGTTCTTTTTCTTTTTCCGTGTGTGTGTGTGCGTGTGTGTGCGCACGCGCGTGTGTTTGCGTGTGTGTTTGCGTGCGTGCGCCTGCCTGCCTGGGGCTTATACTCTGGGCCTGGACACTGTCCCTGAGCTTCTGTTGCTCAAGGCTGGCACTCTACCACTTGAGCTATATAGTACTACTTCTGACTTTTTCTGTGATGAATTGGCAATACAGGTCTCATAGACTTTCTTGCATGGGCTGACTTTGAACCATGATCCTCAGATCTGTGTCCTGAGTAGCTAGGAGTACAGGCATGAGCCACCGTGCCCAACTTGTGTTTTTTTTTGTTTGTTTTGAGTCCTATTATGTAGCTCAGGCTATCCTCAAAGTTAGGATTCTCCTGCCTCTGTTTCTCCAGTGCTAGAATTTATACCCTGCTTACTGTGTGTTCTTGATGTGATACCTGGAGTGCATACTCACGTCTGTGAATACTGTCTGGCATGCTCACTACATCTGCTGTGGACTAAACTCTAGGTAAAATGCCACAATATGCATGACTGAGATGAGTGAAGAAATTGAAATGAGAACTTCAAAGTATTTTAGTATTAAATTTCTTGAACTGATAGTTTATTCTATGGTTATGTAAAAAATTGTTGTTTGAGCTGGGCACCGGTGGCTTACGCCTGTAATTCTAGCTACTCAGGAGGTTGAGATTAGAGGATCGCGGTTCAAAGCCAGCCCGAACAGAAAAGTCCGTAAGACTCTTTTTTTTTTTTTTTTTTGGGTCCGGTCGTGGGGCCTGAACTCTGGGCCTGGGCGCTGTCCTTCAGCTCTTCAGCTCAAGGCTAGCACTCTACCACTTGAGCCACAGCGCCACTTCCGGCTTTTTTCTTTTTGCTTATGTGGTGCTGAGGAATCGAACCCCGGGCCTCATGCATGCAAGGCAAGCGTTCTACCACTGAGCCACCTTCCCAGCCCTATCCAATTTTTTAAAATGACCTATCAGTCACTCAGTTATGGTGTCTAGGTGTTACTCTAGATAGGAATTTCTCTTTGTACTTTCTAGACATTTTGATTATAAGATCTATAGGGATCAAAAGAGAGCACAGATATGGTTGGATAAGAGCAAAGGTTCTATTTGCTTCTAATCATAGTGGTTTACTAGAATTGGTTATTCTGGAAACTTCTTCAGAAAAGAAGTTATCAACAATTAACTAGAATAGCACTGTTTTTTTTTCCTTTTTTTTACATGAATAATATTTTTATTTTTTATTTTTTTTAATTTTAATTTTTATTTTATTGTGAAAATACTGTACAGAGGGGTTACAATTACAAGGGGAAGATAATGAGTACATTTCTTTTTTTATTTTTTTTTAATTGTAGAATAGCACTGTTTTTTAAATAAAATTTGGGTCCTTTGAAGAATAGGAAAGTATTTCCTTTGAATTGGGATCAGTGTCATTCAATTTGTTTTAGTTTAAACATATTACAGATGTTTTTCAGATTTAGGATTTAATTGGTCAATGTTATTATACATTTAGTATATGATGATTTTTTTACTTGAATAATCCTTGAAATGTTCTTCTAAGCTCTGCAGATTTCACTGTTTGATAGCATTAACTTTGCACCACTTGACTGGACTACTGGGAAAATAAGTAGATCTGGGGACTGGGAACATGATTACAGTGGTGCATCATATGCCTAGCAAGTGTGAGGCCTTGAGTTAAAAAAAAAAGTGGTTATTTTTTAAGAACCACCCCATCTATAAAATCATAAAACTGCAACTTGAAATTGTTTTAAAGAAGGGTTTTGACATTCATCTTACTGCTTTTCCCCCCTTTAGTTCAGTCTTCTCTTGTTTTATCGAGTCTTTATCCCTGTGCTTCAGTCAGTAACAGCCCGAATTATTGGTAAGTGCATATTAGCTCCTTGCCAACCTCTGGGGATTGAGATTGAAGATTTTCTAGTTCTCATCAGTTTATTGAACATTTCCTGTGTACCAGGAATTTTCAGACTTCTCAATAGCCCTTTGAGATAGGTGTTCTTCTATTCATGTTATACATGAGGAAATGGAAGTTGGTTACTACGGTTAGACCATTAGCAAATGGCAGAGCTGGGATTTAAACCCAAGTGGTTTTCTGCTAATTGTGCAGTGCTAATCACTGGGGCATCTCAGCCACCTTGTAAGCAGGTTTCCAGATAAACAGCACATATTTGTAGTTACTCTGGAATTGTGGTGTGTCTATGAACAAAGTCTTGTTGGAAACTAGGTGTAATATACACTGGCAAGAAATAGTTATGTAGGGGAAAAAGGTATCGTCACAAGTAGTTCTGTATTTATTCTTCTTGTTTTCCATTTGCCTAAACTAGTCATTCTTGTTCCCTTTCCCTAGGTGATCCATCACTACATGGAGATGTTTGGTCATGGCTGGAGTTCTTCCTCACATCAATCTTCAGTGCTCTTTGGGTGCTCCCCCTGTTTGTGCTTAGCAAAGTTGTGAATGCCATTTGGTTTCAAG